GTCGTGCATGCCGTAGTCGTTTGACCATTGACCTCGCATCCCTACAAAGCCGGGACGGAGCACGCCGGGTTCTCACCGGACCAGGCTCTCACATCACCAAGCGCGAAGCGCCGTGAGGTATTCGGCGAGTCGCATGAGGGGTGAGCTGCATCCTGCTAAGGGTGTTCGGCATCTTGTGCTTACTTCCTTGCGTACGGATGACAAGCTGCGTATGACTTAATTTATTTTCTGGTGCTTTCACTTCCAGAGACAGTTGTAAGCACTGTGTAACTGCCTCGAGGACGCTTGACCATTTTAACACAACGTGGTGCGATCATCCCCCTTGCGCGGAGTGAGGGTTCTCGACCCCGCACAACATGGTCTACTCGACCACCACTATGGTTACCGCCAAAACAAAAACCGAGGTAAAAAAAAAACCGGTAACCTGGTTGCCGAGTTCACGAAGTGATTTGGCTTGTTTTACAACGTCGTTGCCAAGCGACGAAAACCCAATCCCGATGGCAAACACCGAGGGGGGGGCTTGTTTTACAACGTCGTTGCCAAGCGACGAAAACCCAACCCCGATGGCAAACACCGGGGGCGGCGGCTTGTTTTACAACGTCGTTGCCAAGCGACGAAAACCCAAACCCCGATGGCAAACAAGGGGGGGGGGGGGGTTGAACCTCTGCCCCCCCGCTGGGTACAATTTACGGTCATCAAAGTGCCAACCGGTACATACCACGCCGCTGAAGATCGTTCACAAATCCAACTCAACATAATCACCGCGGAAATGTCGCGTTGCGGTGGAACGATGCCGGTGAGCGAGACGCATCTACAGCAGTATTGTTGAACGAAACCGACAAGAATTTGCGCGTGCGAGCACTGCAGCAAAAGCGCCATATTGCGAAGACCCTGAAATCGAATTACATGACTGATACATGCATAGCACACGCTGTGCTTTTTTATGATTTTTTCCCTTCTCAAGACGACCCCTATCTTCTCATGCCCCTCACCGCGAACCGCCTTGGCGAGGATCTTATGCGTAATATGTGCGTTAGGGGGTCGTAATCCCTAACCCCAACCCAACCCGTCACTCGCGAAGTCAACTGCTCACCGCCCCCCCCACCCCCCCACCCCCTCCTTGTTTTTCCTGTCAAGACGAACTCGGGCCCCTGGCAGTGCTCGTTCTGCAAGCAGCAGCACGCCACGACCGAGATCAAATGCTTTTGTCCAGCCAGCAGGCGTGCGGACCTAAGGCCGAAGATAGCAGGCAGCGCCAGCAGCAGCAACGGTAACTGTGGCACCTGAACCGGCGGCCTCTCCCCTCTTCTCACGCAGCAGTAGCAGGAGCACCTAGTTGTTTTGCGCGTTGATGAGCTAGTCAAAGGCCTCCTTCACGACACGTTGCCACGGCCCGGCAAGTGTCTGAACTTGACAGGAGTTGAACGAACCATGTTTGTCTGTGCCTGAGCGGATCAGTCAGAACGAGTCCTTGTTGGGAGGAATCGCTATTGCGCGCAGCTTGGGGTGTTGATAGCTTGACGCGGTGGGGCCTTGGATGATGCGACGGTGCGGTGCGGTGGCTAAAAAAAGCAGGCCTGCAGCCGTTCCGCGTTTGTTGGCCGGAGCAAGGAGCGGGGGCCCCGTACGCCCCTGTTCGGTACTTAAGGGTCTTCGGGATAGGAAGGAGAGAACACCTTTTCGGAGGTATGCGTATGTCGCCCAACTTGACATGTTCTACCGGAACCTTCGTTTATCGTCGTCGTTAGCGAAGACATCAGAAAGCTTCGCCGCGTCCCTTCGACGGGGCACGCAGATTGGAACGGGCACACTACTTGGGCGGGGGGGGGAGGGGGGGCGGTTTGGCATGGCCTGTAGCAAGAAGGCCGTTGCGGGGGTGTAAATAGGAGCAACGACGTCCCCCGCCCCGCAACACTGGCGAGCGTTGACGCGGCGTGACCGCGATTGCACATGTCGATCGTCGTGCTGATGCCGCCTCCTCGTGCTTGTTGTGTACAAGTACCTCATCTCGAATCCGTTTCTTTCAGCACGAATCTGGACGTTTTTTTAACCGAGAGAGGTGTATGTAGGGGTTTCGGAAGCGCGATCAACCATTTCATCCCAACGAAAGGTAAGAGAGTGAACGGACCCCGACAATCCGCGCTGGGTTGTCCACCATGGGTCGGGTGTGCTGGCCTGATGAGACACTTTTTTTTGGCGGGGGGGGGGGGGGGGTCTTTCCCCCCCACAAAAAGAAGGCGAAAAAAACCCGGGCTCCCTGCTTTCTCTTGGAATAATGAAAAGGGGAAAAGGGGGGCCCTCCCTTGGTTCCGGGGGGAAAAGGGGGGGCGGAAAAACCCCCAACCCCAATGGCAATTTTGTGGTTTATTTTTTGGGGAGTCCCAAAAAACGGTGCCTTTAAGTGTTTTCTTCCCGCCCCCCCAAAGGGAAAGGGGCGGGGAGCCCCCCCCTAACGCCCCCCCAAAAAAAAGCCCCCGGGTTCCTGCGGCTTTTAACGGGGGTTTCCCCCCCCGGACGTT